TATTATTTTAACAATAGATGGGATGGTGCTGTTCTTATATCTATCAGTGCGGGCTCTTATGGGCTGTATTTTGTTGTAGTGGCGGACTGCGCGAGTTGGGTGGGGGGCTGCAGGTGGCAGGAGGTGGCGATGACGAGGGTGGTGCAGTAGTCCACTGCCAAACCTTTCCAGTGTTTGGTGGTGGAGGTCACTGAGGGATGGTATTTCCAGGGTGGAGAGAGCGTTGGTGTAGCCGGAGTATTCTGCGCCGAGCATGATTCTGCAGGCCCTTTTCTGTACCTTCTCTAGCTGACATTGTTGGATGGAGTCGAGAGAAGATGACCAGGCTGGTGACGCATATGTAAGTTTGGGGAGAATAAAGGTGTTGTAGATGGTCCTCAGCTCTGGCGTGGGTGTCCCAAGTGACCTAAGTCGTCGTAGCATGTAGAGACGGTGCGAGGCTGCCTTGACTGTGTTATTTACATGGGCTTTCCAGTCAAGTTTGTTGTCTATAGTTACACCCAGGAGTTTGGCAGACTGCACCAGCTGGAGAGGATGGGCACCCACTGTGACTGCTGGGGCTTGCACTGGAGTGGTGCCGGTATTGATGTGCATGACTACGGTTTTGGTGTGGTTGATGGTGACCTTGTTCTCCGTAGTCCATGCCTGTAGCCTGTCCAGGGTGCCTTGTAGCGATGAGTAGTCTGGTGCAGTGTTGTCCACTGAAACCCCTACAGTGCAGTCATCCACGTACTTCCGCCTGTGAGGAGTGTCCGATAGAGCTTCGTTGATCAGGATGAGGAAGCACAGTGGTCCCATCTTGGTCCCCTGGGGAACACCGCAGGTGAGGTGTTGGAATGTAGAGACCAAGCCCTGATGCCTCACTGCCTGGCAACGTCCACTCAAGAAATCAGTGAGCCATGAGACCAGGTTGGTGGGCAGCCCTAGTGCAATAGCCTTGTTGATAACAGTGCAGTGATCAACAAGGTCAAAGGCTTTCCTGAAGTCCACAAGGGCAACGGCCAGTGATGTCTTACGTTTCTGCAAGTTTTTGTGCAGAAAATCCAGAAAGCTCACCAAGCAGTGTGATGTAGAGGAGATCCTCATATTGCCAAATTGCTGTGGATCAATTGACTGATAGATACTGGCAAATGCCCACTCAAAAACAAAGTCCTCACAAAGTAGACTGGGTATGGGGGTAATGGCAACTGGCCTGAGGTCGTTAGGGGACTGTGGGGTGGTGACCTTGGGGATAGGGGTGACAAATGCGGTTTTCCATTCATTAGGGCATTTGCTTTGTCTGAAGGATGCATTAATAACGGAACAGAGGGGGTGGCAAGTACGACTGCAAACTCCTTGTATATTTTGATTGGGAGGTCAATTGGGGTCGTGGAGCGTTTGGATTTAAATTTCAGGAATTTGTTGGCGATTTCATATGGTTGAACACTGGGAGGGGGGAGGGGGAAGGTAAGTAAGCTGGGAGGAGAGTGAGGTCAAGACTGGGTAAGGTATGACATATGGTAGCAAAATGGTTATTAATTATCTCGGCTGCCTCCTCACTCGGTAAATACCTCCATAATTACGTGTGCACTCACAGTGCATCGATAGTTTTTCCCTAATAATGTAAAGAAAGCAATGTTAATGCCAATATATTCCTGTTACCTCTATGCAGCAATCATCGCCCACGAATTATATCTTCCCGATTACTATGAAATCTACCTTCCCACACCCTTGTTCCCACCGGGCACGCACGTTTAGTTTGAGTTATTTATTATGGATACGGGGATGTCGTAATAATTATAATTTATGCCTTATAAGGCATTGGTTCAGGAACATGTTATTGTGATGTTATTTTACAATACAATACGTTGGCATTGATAGGATAAGACGTTAAATTCACTTTCAGATAACATAAGATTATGAGCTGCTGATAGCGAGGTATTATTGACAGGGGCTTGGAGAGTGTGAGACTGTGAGGTATGCTGTATACTGGCGCCGGGGAGAGACCGGGGTGGGGGAGGTGGCGGTCTGGGTAGTTTAAGGGCTGTTCCCTGTAAATAGTACCCGCTGTTTTATTTTCTTATGGTGCAAAAGTACATGCATGGTGATGTCACTTGATGAAGTTATTATATAGTAACTAATATGGATGCTTTGTATTACGCAGCAACTGTCTGCAAGTGCTAATAGGCAGACATTCTACATAACACTCGTGTTGATATATATATATATATATATATATATATATATAACCATATAGGAAACAAGAAAACACGAAGTTCCCAAGCGCTTTTGTGTAATTCACATCTTTAGGGGTGAGTACAGACTAAGAGGTAATACTTGACAAGGCTAATATATACAGTAGAGGAGAGTGAGATTAAGTCCCGAGGGGACAACTAAGTGTGCCGTTGTTGTAGTATATAAACAGTAGGTTCTGTTCAGTAACAGTCATAACATTAGCAGCGAGGTCATCGTCTGTGTATTCAGTGGGTCTCGATTTCTTCCTTTACCAAGCCAACACAAACACGAGGAGCAACGGGAGTCTAGGTGGAGTCTTTTCATGTTTCTCGTACACGGAGGATTTAGCATGTGAAGAATATCGTTGGCATTATAATAATCTGAGAGAGGTATAGCCAACACCTCCTTTATAACACCCTGGTTGTTCCATGAAAAAGAAAATTGTGGGATACAACCACTAGCGTAGCTCACTAGCAGTTTGCGGGGGCGGCACTTTTGGGTGAAGGATCACGAGATGCTGAATTGCCATACGACATTGAATTGAGGAGAGAAATGTTTTCTTCGCCGGACAGAGTGATCCAAGAAATAACTTTGAGATTTCAACAGCTTCATGAACTTGCTGAGAAATATGCCTTCCTTACCCCATTGAATCTTTTGGATGATAAATATGAGTGTCAAATAGATCACGATCACGACGACATTGATAAAGAGGAGTTCCTCGTTGAGAGAAAAAGACTTCAGCATTTTGTTGCTGTTGCTGCTATAACTATTAAAGACAGAATACAGACGTGGAAAGAAGGCCCCCTTGAACTTTTGCAGTTTATTCAAAAGTATAACCTTGGGAACTCGGTTCCAAATATAGTAATAATGCTGAGGATTTTCCTCACAATTGCTGTAAGTGTTGCTACCTGTGAGAGGAGTTTTTCGAAACTAAAACTGATCAAGAATTACTTAAGATCTACTATGAGCACCTTGCGGTTGAGAAATCTTGCCATACTGTCTATAGAGCGACAATTGACAGATGAAATAGTTTTTGACAATGCCATTGAAGAATTTGCCAACAAAAAAACAAGAAAAGTTACTTTGTAGAAAGTTGTAGTTTTCATTTCAGAAATAAAGATGGTCCTAATTTTTTACACTTTTTTACTTTTTTCCCTATCCTATATGTCGTTTTTGCTTTTTGTTTAACTGTTACTTATAAAGTTTAAGTATGTTTGGGGTGTATTTAAAGCATACTATATTTGAGTATGTGAAAGTACAGTAATATTATAATGGTACACAAACTATTTAATATATATATATATATATATATATATATATATATATATATATATATATATATATATATATATATATATATATATATATATATATATATAAGAGTGAGTCACTGTGCAATATGTATTTTTTGTGGGGGCACGGGGGGGGAGGGGGGCGGCAAACTCAAGGGCCGCCCCGGGCGACACACACTCTAGCTACGCCACTAGATACAACAAGTAGCTAAATCAGGGTACACGAAACTGACAGTCAGCATGACGGACTCGGAGAACCATCAACAGATTGTTTGTTACTCAGTTGCCTCAGCCAGTTACCTAATATAACACAGTATATATTTTAGGTGTAACATGAGTACAGTTCTGAACTTGTAAACATAAATGAATTGGCTATCAACATACATTGTGTATATATAATTATATCTATTAAAGAACATACGTCTTCCGCGTATCTTAAATATTCTCGCATTGAAAACCCCGACCAAGCAACTCGGTGACGGCGACCAGCGTCCTGTTTAGGAACTGCCTGGCACCAGCATTAAGGTCAGTCACTAGTAGCAGAGACACCAGGAAACTCCATCGTCCGCCTGTGGTATGGTGATATACAGTATTTGTAGAATCAATAACATTTATAAGGAATAAGCTGTATAACATTTAAATGTACTTGAAATATAATCACAAAATCAGCCAACAGAGGGTCATAATTATAGAGGATACGTCACTGGTTGAAATTGCGTGTTATAAACTTATAATATCGTGTACACAGGTAAGAAAGAATGATGGTGACGGAGGCGTTGCTGGGGGTGCTGTTGCTTGTGTTGTTCCTCGCCCTGGTGAACAGGAAACCTAAAGGACTTCCTCCAGGTATGTGAGGTGACATTAGGAGGTGAAACCCAACAAAACATTTAATGCATGGCAAATTTTGTTTTAGATTATATCTGATTCAATTGCCAACAATATCTACTGAACGCCTAACACAAGTAATATAAACCAGACATCGTCAATAAATCTGCATTAGTCAATAATTACTCACAGATAATCTTTATAAAGGTCCAGGACGTCAGAAAACCACCACGTTGGTACCGCATCACGAGAAAAAATAATCCAACATGAGTAAATTGCAAGCTTCCGCGAGAATGAAAAGATTAATGAATATACAGAAACCTGGTATTTGAGTACTGTGTTATTAAGCGATAAATATTACATTCTAGGCTTACTTGTGTAGACAATCATTTATATTTTCGCCTAAAAGTGGTGTATTCAAGAAGTACGATGTTTCTTGATACACACAAACACATACATACATATATAATTATACGTATTAGTGTGTAGCATCTGGAGGAGCCTAAGTTTGTGTGTAGGTATGTGTGAACGGAAATAAACCCACGTATACGTTTTGCTGTGTATGTGTGTCCCCAGGTGAGTGGGGCTGGCCTGTGCTGGGTACATGTTCCCCGGTGAGTGGGGCTGGCCTGTGCTGGGTACATGTTCCCCGGTGAGTGGGGCTGGCCTGTGCTGGGTACATGTTCCCAGGTGAGAGGTGCTGGCCTGTGCTGGGTACATGTTCCCAGGTGAGTGGGGTTGGCCTGTGTGGGCACATGTTCCCAGGTGAGTGGGGGCTGGCTGGCTGGGCACAATGTTCCCAGGTGAGTGGGGTTGGCCTGTGCTGGGGCACATGTTCCCAGGTGAGTGGGGCCTGTGCTGGGCAACATGTTCCCAGGTGAGTGGGGCTGGCCTGGTGCTGGGGCACATGTTCCCAGGTGAGTGGGGTTGGCCTGTTGGGTACACCCCAGGTGAGAGGGGCTGGCCTGTGTTGGATACATGTTCCCAGGTGAGTGGGGCTGGTACAATACCAGGTGAGTGGGCTGGCCTGTGCTGGGCACATGTTCCCCAGGTGAGTGGGGCTGGCCTGTGCTGGGGTACATGTTCCCAGGTGAGTGGGGCTGGCCTGCTGGGGTTCCCGGTGAGTGGGCTGGCCTGTGCTGGGTACATGTTCCCCGGTGAGTGGGGCTGGCCTGTGCTGGGTACATGTTCCCGGTGATGGGTACATGTTCCCAGGTGAGTGGGGCTGGGCTGCTGCCGGTAAGCTGGGTATGCCTGTTCCCAGTGGGGCTGGCCTGTGCTGGGCATGTGTCACCAGGAAATAGTTGTGGTGTCCCCAGGTGAGTGGGCTTACCTGTGCTGGGGTTCCCAGGTGAGTGGGGCTGGCTGTGCTGGGGTTCCCAGGTGGTGGGCTGGCCTGTGCTGGGTACATGTTCCCAGGTGAGTGGCTGGCTGTGCTGGGGTACATGTTCCCCAGGTGAGGGTAAGCATGTTGGCCTGTGCTGGGCTGGCCTTGGGCACATGTCCCCAGGTACAGTTGTGTGTCCCCAGGGAGTGGGGCTGGCCTGTGCTGGGGCACATGTCCCCAGGTAAAGTTGTGGTGTCCCCAGGTGAGTGGGGTTGGCCTGGGCATGGGCACATGTCCCAGGCAAGCCAGGTGTCCCCAGGTGAGTGGGGCTGGCCTGCTGGGTACATGTCCCCAGGCACAGCTGTGGTGTCCCCAGGTGAGTGGGCTGGCCTGCTGGGTACATGTCCCCAGGCACAGTTGTGGTGTCCCCGTGAGTGGGGCTGGCCTGTGCTGGGTACATGTCCCCAGGCAATAGTTGTGGTGTCCCCAGGTGAGTGGGGTTGGCTGGCTGGGTACATGTCCCCAGGTAATAGCTAGGTGTCCCCAGGTAGCTGGGGCTGGGTACATGTCCCCAGGTAATAGTTGTGGTGTCCCCAGGTGAGTGGGGCTGGCCTGTGCTGGGCGCCTGGATGTCGTCAGGAGTGACCATGGAGGACCACGCTAAGGCTCTCAGACAGAAGTATGGCGACATTTTCACGTAAGTTAATAGTTGTATATTTTTTTTTTACTCTAGCGTCAACAACTAGAGTTTTGTCATGATATATATGACAACATTCATAAGAACATAAGAATGGAGGTAACTGCAGCGGGCCTAATGGCCCATACTGGGCATTGCCATTTACACCCAACCCCTATTGCTCATATATCCATCCAACCTATGTTTGAAGCTATCCAGCGTATTCGAGTTAATGATGATATTTGGTAACTTGTTCCACTCGTCCACTACTCTATTTCTAAACCAATGTTTATCTATTTCGCGCCTAAATCAAATAACATTCATACCTTGGTGTACACAGAAACATTCATACCTTGGTGTACACAGAAACATTCATACCTTGGTGTACACAGTAACAGTCATACCTTGGTGTACACAATAACTTGGTGGTCGTGACCCGGGCAGGTGGAGGATGGGCAGCCGCACGATGGTCTTCCTCAACAACTTCCAGCTCATCAAGACAGCGTTCAACAACCCCGACCTGCAAGACCGACCTGACTTCTTCAGCTTTGATTCCTTCAGCGCTTTTGTGAAAACTGGTAATAGTCCGGTGGCCGATGAGTGTCCCCAGGAAATATTTACTTCACTCAATATATGTTCTTTGGTATGTCAGAAAATTTCCTTCTTTACTAAAACACTGACTTGTCCCGCGCTGCCACAGGCATAGCCAATAGCAATGGAGTCCACTGGCACAACAGTCGTCGGTTCGCCCTGCGTCAGTTGAAGGATCTGGGAATGGGCAAGTCGAGCCTGATGGACGCCATCCAGTACGAGGCGACTTGTCTGGTGGAAGACTTCAGGAAGCACACAGGACGACCCCAGTCCATCCCAATGTCTCTTAGTGTTGCCATCCTCAACGTTATCTGGAAACTCACTGCAGGTGGGAGTTGGCTGATGTTTCTTGCGTCACCGTGTGTGTTATTGTTTTAACCTGGATAATTTTAACTTATTTCGGCTTGTTTATTTGAGGTTTAAAGACTTAGCAAGATAGAGAGAGAAAGGAATGGAAAAATAATTGTTTTTGGCCAGTATTACGAAACAAAATTTAGCAAAACACGAAAAACAGTTCCAAAGGCGCAGTACCATTCTGTTTGAGTAAAATTTGAATTTCACTTTTCATTTGGTATCGGGGGCAGCACAACATCTAGACGCCTCCCTCTCTATGGTTGAGCCCTGCTGCTAGTACTGAGTACATTAGTGTGAGTTGCGATAGACTCGCTGTAAGTACTGATTACAGTACATCACCTGTCACATTAACGAGGCTGATGTGTGAGGAGATAAGCGTACTTTTGCCACTTTAGGTTATATATTCCGAACGGACTTATTGATCGAAGTCATAAGAGATCAACCCAGTATAATGCCTAATGGCGGGAAGAGTCACTCTTCCACCATCCATTGTGGAGCTTCTTTGGATCGTGTGAAAAGATGGTATGTCGAGTCTTTGTGATTGTAACTCCAAACCCCTGTCAACACACTCACATCAACAGCACATTCATGTCAACACTTCACATCAACACCAGTCATGTCAATACTCACATCAACACCACATTCATGTCAACACACAAACACCGAATGTCAACCACGGATGGGGCCTGACAAAACTAATGGATGTAACCTTCTATGAATTGAATTAAATTGAATTGAAACAGTTTATTTAGCCATAAAAACACAGATACAGAGTGGATAATAATAACAATATTAACATGGCTGAGCCAGTTGAGAATCTGAGCTCTCTTTTAGGCCCCTGTGTGTGTACAGTATGTGGGTGAGTCAGTTTAGGTCTCTAAGAACGTTTAGTAAGTCACTTTCTGCACTGGACAAGAATTTTCAAGAATTAAAATATTATATTTTTTTGTATGTGCGTGTGTTTTCAGATCATACAGAATTTATGTACGTGGCATTACGTATCAATCTACTTAGGTAATTGCAAAAAAAAATAGATTCATTCGGTGTACTATAAGAATTAGCCTCAACCCACCTCTAATAATCTCCACACATTATTTTAACCCTGGAAATATATTTTTTTTCTTTAGACATACGGTACGACGTGGACGACCGCGAGGTCCATAAATTTAACGAGATGATCCACGATGCCTTCCAGTTGTCTCAGGGTAACAACGTGCTGTTCGACATGTATCCCTGGCTCCCGTATGTCTCCCCGTCCTTTATATGGAAGGCCCTAGGTGTAGAAGCGATGTTGGAATCCTTCACGAAGATCAGAAATTACATACTGGTGAGTTGATGGCTATTTTCTTCTTCTCGTAAACGCACCTCTTTTTAACATTATCATCCTCGGCTCCACAACACCTAGTACGTTATCATCCTCGGCTCCACAACACCTAGTACGTTATCATCCTCGGCTCCACAACACCTAGTACGTTATCATCCTCGGCTCCACAACACCTAGTACGTTATCATCCTCGGCTCCACAACACCTAGTACGTTATCATCCTCGGCTCCACAACACTTACGTCATCCTTGGCTCCACAACACTTACGCGTCATCATCCTCGGCTCCACCACACTCACGTCATCATCCCCGGCTCCACACGACTCACGTCATCATCCTTGGCTCCACAACACTTACGTCATCATCCTTGGCTCCACAACACCTCACGTCATCCCGGCTCCACACGACTCACGTCATCATCCGGCTCCACACGACTCACGTCATCATCCTTGGCTTCACAACACTTACGTCATCATCCTCGGCTCCACACGACTCACGTCATCATCCGGCTCCACACGACTCACCATCTCGGCTCCATACGACTCACGTCATCCTTGGCTCCACAACACTTACGTCATCATCCTTGGCTCCACACGACTCACGTCATCATCCCCGCCCACAACACCTATATCATCATCCTCGGCGCCACACATTTATAAAGACACCATCCTCGCGCCACAATACATAAGTCATCATCCTGGTTCCAGCAAGTGATCGAGGAACACGAGGCTCGCTGGACCCCGACAAGCCGAGGGACTACATTGACATCTACCTCGTGGAGATGAAGACACAGACAAACCCAGAGTCTACCATGGACAGGTAAGAGAGAGAGAGAGAGAGAGAGAGAGATTACCTCGAGCAGTAAGAGTTAGAGAAAGATTATACCATGAACAGAAAGAGAGAGAGATTCGTTAAGTATAGTTTGTGAACTCCTTGTATACCGACCTACACACACACACACACACACACACTATCTTGCTATCGCCGAACCCCTGACTTGACCTCTGATTGGTGATAATGAATTGACTTACTACCTGGAAATAACTATTAACAACAGGGAGGACACAGTAATGACACCTAACTCATAGTCTTGCCTACTGCTTACTGATGATAACATGTGACCCTGAGATGCCTGTCAGGAAGATCATGTGAACATCTTTTACAGTTGGTGACTCACAGAAGGAAAATCTTACATCTCAATCGGGCTTCGGAGGCTATATGTTTCATTAGTAAGACGTGGGATATCTGAAAACCCAAAGACCTCATGAATGCTGAGTAACAATTGGTAATTAATATAGACATGTGGTTATCAGTAATTATCGCATCAAGAGATAATTTACTTAATTTTTAAACGTCGCCATCGTGAGCATTTCACAAATACTTCTCAAAACTGAAGGTCACACACAAACCCACATCTGAACTTTCACGGAACACCACTTGTATTCATTATGTTTCCACAGAACAAGATCTCTGGGTCCAGGTGGGAGATCTGTTTACAGCGGGGAGCGAGACCACGAACCAGACGGTACGGTGGACGCTGATGTTGTTAGCCAAGTACCCAGACATCCAGACCAGAGTACAGCGCCAGATTGATGATGTAGTGCCCAGAGGAACACTCCCTTCACTCCAAGATAAACCTAAGTGTGTTTATAAGCTATTTACTATTGCTTTAGAAATCCAGGTAACTTTATAGTCCTGTATGCTTATAAGTTATTTCTTGTTCCAAGTGGTATTTTCTTTATTTTCTGAATAATTTTGTCTCAGTAATTTTAAGTTAATCTCAGTTGTTTTGGTCAGTGTTTTAAAGTTACTTAATTCTTCAAATTGTTGTCTTAAC